TAAAATAATTTAATGCAGTCAAAGGTAAGATATAGACTGGAATTTAAGTTGATAAACTAGATTTTGAAGAAAGTTAGGTCTGCAGACCTTTTTAGCCTTGCTGAGAAATTACAGGTTCCACTTCATTCCCGTCAGGGCGGCACCAATCCCCGGGGGTCCTGAGAGAAGTCACCTAATCTGTACCTGCCGGGGGAGCAGTCCTTTTGATCCCACAGAAGAAGTAATATGTGTCTTAACTGAGAAAGAAAACAGTCAAATTTTCCATACTCACAGTAAAAGAAAGTTATAATTTTTAAATCTTCAACTTGTACGACTGTAGATATACTGTACCAGAGAAAACAAAATGTTGCTTCTTGCTGGGCACAGGAATGACGACTGCAAAGAGCACCCGCCTTCCCGCCACCCCCGACAAGGCAGATCTCAGTGGAAAACCCATGCTCTGAAAGGTGTACCGTATTTATCCCATGACCTGGTGCATCTCGGGTGCTCCATGAGTTCTTGGGGTAGGAGTGAGTTCTTCCCAGAGATGGCGAGGATGAGGTTCCTTGGGATTCTTTGAAATCTGGAATTATAAGAGAATGAGGTGCTTGGGTGCCATGGTGGTTGGTGGAAGGAATGTAAAAGTAGCCTGTGAATATTTGAACATCTGTGTTGAGTTTCTGTATTTGTTGAGGCAGGGCACGATGATCAGTAACAAGGTGTCAACTAGGTCATTTGAGTTCTGTTTGTGACTGCCACAGTGTTGGGTAAGTCAGTTTTTTTGGTGCTGTTTTTAGAAAGGAAGAAGCCTTTGAGCGGAGGTTCTGGTCCAGCAGTTTCTACTCAGGCACCTCCACCCTGGGGGCCCTAGAAACAGAACAGTCGTCTGGCCTATGTTGCTTGGATTAATGTGCGTCAGATGATGTGCTGTTATGTTTCAAATGTACACAGATGATAGCATGACTTCAAAATACAGAGCGGGCTGGGCGCTGTGGCTCACACCTGTAATGCCAGCACTTTGGGTGGCCGAGCCCAGGAGGTGGAGGCTGGCTCATCTGAGCCCAGTGAGTTGTGATTGTGCCACTGCACTCCAGCCTGAGTGACAGAGTGAGACCCTATCTAAAAATATGTAGGATGGAAAAAAAGGTAACTAAGAATTTTAAATACCTTTGCATTTTATGAATTACATTTTATTCATCCACAGATGGTGAAGTCAGCTAGTCATGTGGAAGTTGACATTTTCAGTGTTAAAAGTGGTGTGGTTTCCCCTGTACTGAGCTAACGAACATTCTTTTAGTTCAGAGTCTTGGTTTTGGCCAAAGCACTGTGCAAGTATTTTTTTGCATAAAAATGTAATAGGCTACTACTTTGAGCCCAGCGGTTCTATATTTGGCCTCTCTGGGGACATCTAGTGGGTATATTAAGAAGTGCAAGCTGGAAGTGATGGCTAATGCATCTAATCCCAGCACTTTGAGAAGCCGGGGAGGGAGGATTGCTTGAGCACCGGAGTTCCAGACCAGCCTGGGTAAGACAGCAAGAGTCTGTATCTAGAAAAAAATTTAAAATTTAGCCAGGTTTAGTGATGTGTACCTGTAGTCCCAGCTACTTGAGAGGCTGAGGTGGACGATTGCTTGAGCCTGGGAAGTGGAGGCTACAGTGAGCCATGATCACACCACTGCACTCCAGCCTGGGCAAAAGAGTGAGACCTTGTCCTAAAAATTAATTTAAAAAAAGGAAAGAAAGAAAGAAAAAAAGAAGTGCGGTCTCTCTGTCTAGTCGTCATCTGTTGCTAAGGAGGATGGCTGCATTGAGGCCCACTTCAGAATGTTAGTGAGGGGTCTCCATCCCCTGGCTCAGCCTGGCTGGTGAGTGATGTCCTTGTCACCCACAATCATGACAGATGGGTGCTGGCATCTTAGATCTGTGATGTCTTCTGATCCTGAATGCAGGCTGAGGTGGTTTCTTTAAGATGGAGCAGGGTGTGATGGCACGCATCTATAGTCCTAGCTACTTGGAAGACAGGTAGCAGGATTGCTTGAACCCAGGAGTTCAAGTCCAGCCTGGGTAATACGGCCAGACCTTGTCAAAGTAGGTTTCCCCCACCACTTTTTTAAGAAAAAAAAAATGTAGGATAGAGAAAATGTTGCATGATTGGAACCCTTGAGTTGGAATTTTAAAGCAAAAGTGGAAATAGAAAACATCCATGCTGTCTTTGGCTTAAGGCTGCACTGGTGCATAGGCGCCTGCAGGAAGCTCCTCTCTGCCCCTGTGTGGGGCTGGGCCCTGCGCTGTGCTCTCGCTGCTGTGCAGCTCTTGCCTCTGATCGGAGTCTGAGCGCCTCCGGGGCAGGCGCTGTGGATTGTCCCTCCCATGGCCAGGGCCTGGCAGAACAGGCACCTAGTGGCATCAGTTTGAGTTTTAACTTTTTTTCATTTTATGTGTAAATAGGATTATTTATAACTCCTGGGAATCTAAATGAATGTTGGATTTTTAAAAATTATGATAATTTGAGAAACTTAGATTTTCTTAAGCCTTAAAGTTCAACTTACAAATATCTTTCTTTTTCTTTCTTTCTTTTTTCCCAAGGTGGAGTTTCACTGTTTTTGCCCAGGCTGGAGTGCAATGGTGCAATCCAGGTGGAGGTCACTGGAACCTCCGCCTCCCAGGTTCAAGTGATTCTCCTGCCTCAGCCTCCCGAGTAGCTGGGATTACGGGCATGGGCCACCACGCCCGGCTAATTTTTTGTATTTTTAGTAGAGATGGGTTTCTCCATGTTGGTCAGGCTGGTCTTGAACTCTTGACCTCAGGTGATCAGCCCACCTTGGCCTCCCAAAGTGCTGACATTACAGGTGTGAGCCAATGCACCCGCCCAGCCAAAGCTAACAATTTTTCTATAAAATAACATTTACTTTCATTATTTGATAAATGGTTTATTAACTCAAGTTTAACTGATTAAAATCCCTAAACAATGTACTGTAAATCAGTTTCATTTGCAACTCAGTGAATTGAAAGAATTTAAGCATTTTCAACTGCTTTAACAAATGGGAGCTGCCTATCTTTTCTTCAGCATTTCCAACCCCCGAGGCCAACTAGCAAAGGTAGTAGATTGCTTTCTGTACTTAAACAACCCTTTGAAATCTAATAAACCAAATTTGGAAATGGGGTAAATCAGCTTCTTAAAAACATTCAAATCCTGGATGGACTTTGATGCTCTTCTTTCAAATGACTAATATCAATTACATATTTCAAATTAGGACCACTTGCTTTAATTACCTTAATAACTAAGGCACATAGTATTTCAAAGATGACAACATTTAAGTTTGAAATTAAGTTTATTCTTCAACCTGTAAAGCTGGATATTCTAATTTTTCCCTCTGCCTCCTCTGGTAATAAGCACACTCAGGCCAACAGAGGTTACTGTGTTGAAGGTTCGTGACTCTGATCTCCACCAGAGATTTGAGCCTAGGGCCAAGACTGGGTGTTACATTCTAGCAGGATTCTAGAATTTAATAAATTCTGTGCTTACCCAAGTGCAGGTGCACTGAGCCCTTTCCTAGAGTTGCGTTCACTTCTCTCTGTCAATGGGGGATCCAAACTCCTGCCTTTGACCTGGGATTGATTGACTGAGTGAGTGAGTGAGTGAGTGAGACTGAGTCTTGCTCTGTTGCCTAGGCTGGAGTGCAGTGACACAATCTCAGCTCACTGCAGCCTCCGCCTCCCAGATTCAAGCGATTCTCCTGCCCCATCCTCCTGAGTAGCTGAGGTTAGAGGTGTGCCACCACACCCGGCTAATTTTTGTATTTTTAGTAGAAACAAGGTTTCTCCTTGTTGGTCAGGCTGGTCTCGAACTCCTGACCTCAGGTGATTCACCCACCTCTGCCTTCTAAAGTGCTGGGATTATAGGCATGAGCCACCAGCCCAACCTGAGCTGGGATTTAGCTTTCAAATCTCACCCATCTTGTGCTCTCCCTGTACATTCCATCTTTCCTTCTCAGCTGGTTTGTAATCCCTTTCATCATCGGATCTGAGCTGCAGCTTAGGTGAGGTTGCAGCTAATGTCCATCACTACTTAACTGGAATTAGCTCACTTTACCTGACTGGATTAGGCATTCTTTTCCTGTGTATGTGTTTTCTGGACTGGTGCATGTTCACAGGGTATAGTCATTTTTTTTTTTTTTTTTTTGAGACGGAGTTTCGCTTGTTACCCAGGCTGGAGTGCAGTGGCGCGATCTCGGCTCACCGCAACCTCCGCCTCCTGGGTTCAGGCAATTCTCCTGCCTCAGCCTCCCAAAGTGCTGGGATTACAGGCGGGAGCCACCGCGCCCGGCCCTGCTATAGTCATTTTATTGGCAAGTAAGTATCAATACCTACTGTCACCTTAAGTGCCTGAGTTAACTTCGGTAACAGATACGGGAGCATTATCTGTTTCACATTATATTCCACATTATCACGTGGAATCTATTTCTATTTCAATCTCCCCTGTCCGAAGGCAGCAATCGCTCAGCAGATTTTCTCTTCCGTCGCCACTCTGGCAGCAGGTCAGAACCACCTGAGGACCTTTCGTGTCGTGCGTGGTCAGGGCCCCACCTCAAACCATGTGAAGCAGAGCCTCTGCCCAGGCATTGCTGTGTATTGAAAGTGCAGCAGGTGATTCAGACACATGGAGGGTTAAAAACCCCAGTCCTCAACTTTATTTAACATGCTGTGAAACCAGAGATTTCAGGTCATTAAACAAACCTTGTTCTCCTTACCCTCATGTTGTGGAAACATTCATGGGAAGTGTACAGAATGAGAAGGATACCTTACATAGAAGGTGTAGCTAATTCACAGCTGGACTATTTTCCTGTCATAAGACCAACAGCAAGGTATCTTAAGGTGTGGGTTACAGAGCCTTTATGATATATGTTTCTTTTTTTTTTTTTTGCTTAAAGTGCTCATGTGGGGGTCAGTGCTGACTGTAAGTATTTATTATGACCCAGCGTAGTGAGGTGTGCACCCTGGTGTCTGCTTCCTTGCTGCAGGTTTCTACTGATGTACTCCACGGTTCTGTGCAGCTATTACAATTCGGCCCTGACGACAGCAGTGGTTGGAGCTATCAAGGTGAGTGGATGGAGCCACGGAAGGAACAACTGAGTCAAGGAATGGATTGTGAATCCAAATTTTCTGCTGGAGGCTGGGCGTGATGTTCTTGGTGGTGGTGTAAGAACAGGAGCTGTGACCTTTTCAGGTGGACCTGTGTGATCCTGTCTTACTTCTTTTGTTTTTTTGTTTTTTTTTTGAGAAAGAGTCTCATTCTGTCACCCAGGATGGAGTGCCGTGGCATGATCTTGGCTCACTGCAACCTGTGCCTCCCGGGTTCAAGCAGTTCTCCTGCCTAAGCTTCCTGAGTAGCTGGGATCACAGGTGCCTCCCACCACACCTTGCTAATTTTTTTACATTTTTAGTAGAGACAAGGTTTCACCATGTTGGCCAGGCTGGTCTTGAACTCCTGACCTCAAATGATGCATCTGCCTCAGCCTCCTAAAGTACTGGGATTACAGGCATGAGCCACTGCACCCAGCCCCATCTTACTTCTTCTAATCTATGGCATAGAACAGAGGGACAGATTGCTAATTTATAAAGGAGAGACCAGTGATAATTTTTGAAGTCAGGGGTGACTTGGAGGGGATGGGTCTGGGAAAATGAAGTAAAAAGCTGAAAAAAGACCAACCACTCCAGCTCTCAATGATCAGTAAGGTACCTTGTGAACCACAATATGGTTTTCTGGGAGAATCTGCCCACTAAGAAGTAGAGCCCTTGTGGAGAAGCATTTTCCACGTAGGTGTGCACTGTGTTATAAGGCATGAACCTGGGGGTTGGTGTGTGGGTGTTTGCATATGTGGATGCATCTGAATTCACACACATGCACGCGCACACACGCGCACACACACACACGCACATACGCACGCACACACACATGCACACACACGCACGCACACACACACACACACACACGTGAATGAATGGGGGAGACATGTTCTGGATTCTATTCCATACTTGCTTCGTTTTTCTATTCACATGAAGTCCTAGAATGCGTGAAAACACTGCCTGCTTCAAGAATTCACCCGTCCCCTGACTACCCAGAGGTCTCCCAGAATGCAGTGGGCAGAGCACAGCCTGAAATTTAATGACTGTCTCTACTCAGTTCAAATTTAGGGTCAAGATAATTAACTCACTCCTTGGCCCTGGTGTGCCCACAGATGGCAGTGCCGTGTGGGAGCTCAGGGTTGAAAAAAAAAAAGAAAAACAAACCTGGTGCAGTGGTTCATGCCTGTAATCCCAGCACTTAGAGTGGCCAAGGCTGGTGGACCACCTGAGGTCAGGAGTTCAAGACCAGCCTGGCCAACATGGTGAAACCCTGTCTCTACTAAAAATACAAAAATGAGCCAGATGTGGTGGCAGGCGCCCTGTAGTCCCAGCTACTTCGGAGGCTGAGGCAGGAGAATCGGTTGAACCTGGGAGGCGGAGGTTGCGGTGAACCAAGATTGCGCCACCGCACTCCAGCCTGGGCAGCAGAGTGAGACTCTGTCTCAAAAAAGAAAATCCAAAAACCCAATGATGGTAAAGAGATAGGACCTGGCAAGCAGATGACAGCCCCACTCTTCCTCTTTTGCCTGCATGCCAACTGGAACAGGGGAGACAATAACACAATTTTCTGTTGTTATCATACCATGATTTATTTATTAAGCCCCATATTTAATGGCTTATTTATTTATCTATTTTTCTGAGGCAGGGTCTTGCTGTGTTGCCCAGGCTGGAGTACAGTGGCATGTAGCTCTCTGCAGCCTTGACCTCCTGGGCACAAGCAGCCCTCCGACTTCAGTCCTTGTGGAGTAGCTGGGATTGCAGGCATGTGCCAGCCTGCCCGGCTACTTAAAAAACTTTTTTTGTAGAGATGGGATCTCACTCTGTTGCCCAGGCTGGTCTTAAACTCCTGGGCTCAAGTGATCCTTCCACTTCGGCTTCCCAAAGTGTTGGGATTACAGGCGTGAGCCATGATTCCTGGACTGTAATGGTGTTTATTTTGTTCAACCCCTGTGAATATCCCTCTGTACAAGCCTCGATGCAAAGTAACTACAATGTCTAGTTTCAGGTTTTACCACGTTTTCCCCTAAATATTTTACTTTGAAAATGACGAATCCTCTGTTTTTCTGCAGAATGTATCTGTTGCCTACATCGGGATGTTGATCGGTGGAGACTACATTTTCTCTCTGTTAAACTTTGTAGGGTTAAATATTTGGTGAGTGGGAATTTTTAATGGACTCGCTTTGGGAAAACAAGAATCTTAAACAGTTTGGTTAATATGTAATAAGCACAAGAGCCTAGAGAAGTCGTTCATGTTAAGCCAAGAGGTGTTTTGACATTCTAATTTCGAAGCTAATTTTCCTTGATCGCTGGGTTCATCCTCATGCGGATCCATGGGGACACGTGTGGTGACAGTTCGAGGGGCCGGGATGGAATTTAACTCACCTGTCTTCCTCACGGAAGGCCCCTGTGTCCTCTGCCCTCCTCCTAGAAGTGGGGTGTGTTACCTTTGTGCCCACTAGGCTCGGCATGCAGGGGTGTGGACTAAGCCAGCTTTGGAAGGCGTTTGGGGTCTCAGCAGAGGGATGCTATTTAAGGCTAAGGGTATGTAGTTTGTTCAGTAAAAACCACGTGCTTATTTTCTCTCCGAGGTTCGCATTAGATTTGATGACTGTTTTTCTGCCTCCAAAGGCTTGTAAATAAGATGGGCAATTCTCATCAAGCAATGTGCAAAGTTGAGGATATTGGAATAATTCTCTCTGCATGAAGCAGGCTGAATGGATAAAAGAGCAGCAGCAGCTGCTGGTAGCCCGTGTGACATTCCCAGTCACTTACTTTCACTTTTTTCCCTCCTTTCAGCATGGCAGGGGGCTTGAGATACTCCTTTTTAACGCTGAGCAGCCAGTTAAAACCTAAACCTGTGGATGAAGAAAACATCGGTTTGGATTTGAAGAACTAGAGTCTGCAGCGGGGTGTAGACGGACTTGTGACTGGGGTCTGGGGGTTATTCCCACTAGGAATGTGAAGCCAGAGGTTTCAGATTCGGGACATCCTCCCCCGGGGCAAGCGAGAATATCTGCAAAAATGCAAAGAACTACCTCATACGCCCGCACCATGAGCCACTGGCAGCCCTGAAAATGTACTTGGGCCGCACCTTACTAGTGGAAAGCAAAGCTTTTCAAAAGAAGCCGCTGGGACTCGGTGGGTGGAGCCTCAGGTGCTCTTCTAGGGACCGATGGCGCCTTTGTGGCATCTCCGTGCCATGTGCTGGGGAGGAGGTCGATGTGATGGTGACTGTTTTCTGATTAGCACCTTGGCCTGATTTGCAAGGTCCCAGCCACAACAAAGGGCCAATTGTTTAGTTTAAACAGACACGTCTTTATTTTAATAAAATTAGTCAGTTGACTGCCAGTAAAGTTATTTGCTAGCTTCGATGAAAGCTATGTTGGTATCTCTTCCTAATCATCAAAGTAAAATAAAAAATTATTTCTGGGTATGTCTCATGCTGTGATATTACTGGAGGCAGAAAATAGTGGCCATCATTCACAAGGTAGCAGAATATGTCACTTTGAAGGAATCATTCCAAACTCTTTTTATGACTTGAGGCTGGGGAAAGCTACAAAGTAACTCAATGGGAAACAAAAACACTCAGGCTTTATCCTGTCAGCATTTTTTTGTTTTTGTCCTTTTGGAGACAGAGTCTCCCTCAATCCCCCAGGCTGGAGTGCAGTGGTGTGATCTCTGCTCACTGCAACCTCCACCCTCCGTGTTCAAGTTCCTTTCATGTCTTAGCCTCTTGAGTAGCTGGGATTACAGGCACCTGCTACCGCGCCTGGCTAATTTTTGTATTTCTAGTAGAGACGGAGTTTGGCCGTCACGTTGGCCAGGCTGCTCTCAAACTCCTGACCTCGGGCGATCTGCCCACCTCGGCCTCCTCAAGTGCTGGGATTATAGGTGTGAGCCACCACCTGGAGCCTCTGGAGTAACGGGGACTACAGGCTCACCTGCCTGGCTGCGTTTTTAAGCGCTCACCTGTTTTGTTTCTCCTCATCTCCCTCCAGGTTCATTCAGGAGCCTTAACCAAAGGTGCATGTCCTCACAGGCTCGCCTACCTCCAACCTCTGGTGTATGGGAAGGAAGCCCGAATGGGTAGGGTGCCTTTACCCCCCGTGTGTGGAAATGGCTGTCCCCACTGGAATTGGAGCACAGGGTAGAGCAACAGTCTGGGAGTCAGGAGCCAGACGAACTAGCCTTGTCTCTGCTATTAAGTTCGGGAGACCTTTCCCAAGTCACTTTGCCCATTGTGGCCTTCAGTATTTTAATCTATAAAATTAAACTAGATCTTTAAATCCCTGCGAGCTGCAGCTTTCTAAGTTTCGAGGAGCTGAGTCAGATCTGGAGCAGACCAGCACAAGAAAGAATCATTGTGTGGATGTGTTGTTTCAATCTACTCAGAACAATTGTTTCTGGGGCTGGGCGCAGTGGCTCACGCCTATAATCCCGGCACTTTGGGAGGCTGAGGTGGGAGAATCACCTGAGGCCAGCCTGGGCAACAAGGTGAAACACCATCTCTACAAAAAAAAAAAAAAAAAAAAAAAAAAAAATTAGGCGTGGTGGCACACACCTCCGATCCCAGCTACTGGGAAGGCTGAGGTGGGAGGATGGCCTGAGCCTGGGAGGTGGAGGCTGCAGTGAGCCAAGATCATGCCACTGCACTCCAGCCTCGGTGACAGGGTGAGACCCTGTCTCAAAATTAAAAAAAAAATTGTGGTAAAGCCCAGGTGAGGTGGCTCACGCCTGTAATCCTAGCACTTTGGGAGGCCGAGGTGGGTGGATCACCTGAGGTCAGGAGTTCAAGACCAGCCTGGCTCTCGTGGTGAAACCCCATCTTTATTTTTATGTGTTAGCTGAACTTTCTAGATTGCTGCCGGCATGCAGTGTGGTTATTCTTCTTGCCCCATTTTTTTTTTTTAAAAAAAAAAAAAAAAGAAAGAAAAAATTGTGGTAAAATACACAACAAAATTTACCAATCTAACCATTTTAAGTGTATACAGTCCAGTAGCAGTGAGCATACGCACTGTGCAGCCCACCTCCAGAACTTTGCAAAACTGAAACGCTGTACCCGTGAAACAAAAACGCCTCATTTCCCCAACCCCCCAGCCCCCGTTCTACTCTGTCTTTGTGAGTTTGACTCTTCGAGATACCCTATCTAAGTACAATCATAGTATTTGTGTTTTTGCGACAGGTTTATTCACTTAGCATCATGTCACCAAGACTCGTCCATGCTGTATATGAGCGTGCCCCTCCTTAGGTCTGAATACGGGGTGTGGATTTGCCACATTCTGTTTATCTGGCCATCTGCCGATGGGCACTCAGCTTGCTTCCACCATTTGGCTATTATGAATAATGCTGCTATTAATATCGGTGTACAATATGTCTTCAAGACTCCGCTTTCAATTTTTTTAGATATATGCCTGGAAGCGGAATTGCTGGATCTTACGATAATTCTATTTTTAATTTTTTGAGGAGCTGCTATGCTGTTTTCCATAGTAGCTGCAGCATTTACATTCCTACAATCAAGGATTCCAATTTCTCCACATCCTCAGTAACATTTGTTATTTTCTGTTTCATTTTTACTTGTAGTCATCATGATGGATGTTTCCAAAAATAATTTATTTTTATTTTATTTTGTTTTTAGAGATGGGGGTCTCACTATGTTGCCCAGGGTGGTCTGCAACTCTTGGGCACAAGTGATCCTCCTGCCCCAGCCTCTGGAGTAGCTGAGACCGCTGGCTCAGCTGCCTGGTTGTGTTTTGGTTTTGATTTGTATTTCCCTAATTAATCGATTAATGGTGTTGAGCATTTTAAAATGTCCCTGTTGGCCATTTGTTCATCTGCTTAAATAAATGTCTGTTTGAGTCCATTGCCCATTTCTTAATGAAGTTGTTTGTTTTGTTGTTGTTGAGTTGTAGGAGTTCTTTACTGTTTCAATATGCTTTTGGATTTATTTTATTATTATTTTTGAGACAGGGTCTTACTCTGTCTCCCAGGCTGTAGTGCAGTTGCATGATCTCGGTTCACTGCAGTCTCTACCTCCCAGGCTCAGGCGTTCCTCCCACCTCAGCCTCCTGAGGAGCTGGGACCACTACTAAAAAAATTGCCTGGCTAATTTTAAATATTATTTTGTAGAGATGGAGTCTTGCCCTGTTGCCCAGGCTGGTCTTGAACTCCCAAACTCAAGTGATCCTCCCACTTTGGCCTCCTAAAGTGTAGGAATTATAGGTGTGAGCCACTGTGCCTGGCCTTCAATGTGCTTTTAAGAAGCTTCTGGAGGGCTGGGCATGACAAACATGGCAAGACTCTATGTCTACAAAAAATATATATAATAAGATAAAATAGTGAAAACTTCTGGAGTGTGACCTTGGAGCTCTCAAACTTCTTTTTCTTTTTTTTGAGACAAGATCTTTGTTGCCCAGGCTGGATCGCAGTGGCATGATCTCAGCTCTCTGCAACCCCCACCTCCCAGGTTTAAGTGATTCTCATGTTTAGTCCCCCAAGTGGCTGGGATCATAGGGGTGCACTACCATGCCTGGCTAATTTTTTATTTTTAGTAGAGATGGGGCTTCATCATTTGGCCCAGGTTGGTCTCGAACTCCTGGCCTCAGGTGGTCCACCGACCTCGGCCTCCCAAAGTGCTGGGGTTACAGGCTTGAGCCACCACACCCGGCCATCCAAACTTTTGTTAACTACCTCCTGTTGCATCAACAACTACCTCCCGTTGAATCCCAGAGACCAAAGATGCTAACTAAGCAAAACAAACACTAATTTTTTCTTTCTTCCAAAATTTTTTTTTAACATTTAATTTTTATTCTTGGAATTCTTAAAGGAAGATTTAAGACTTTTACTACTGCTTCCATGTGCGGCCAGCAGAGGGCACCCTAAGAGCAGCCCAGCAGCCCTAGCAGCTGGGCTGAAAGTGGCAAAATTTGCTGCACTGCTAAAGAACTTGGGTTTAAGGGAGGGGAAAGGTTGAAGGAAGCTCCAATGAGGCTTTTGAACTAAGGTTAGGTCAGGGTGCTAGAGGTGGAGAAGGGGTATGGAAAGGCTCTGCAAACCCCATCGAGGCTGAATTTAAAATGTATGCCCAGTGACCCAGGTCTCCAGATTTAATTTTTCCCAGTAAAAACATTGTAAAAACCACTAGTGGAGGGTCAAAAAAATTATTTAATTTCCTTGATATTTTGCACATTTCTTGCCATGGTACTATGGATAACAGTTGCACCAGTTGTGAAAATGGACTACTTCTGGCTGTTTTAATACTTTTTCTATATATTAAGTATATATATCTCAAGCATAGGAGTTTTTTGACAGCTGAGGTTGATAACACAATAGTACCTAGTTTAGAGAAGAGTTAAATGTATTTTTTTGTTAGGTAAGGTACATTTGTTAAGAATTTCAAAGTCTTTAGGCTTGGCAAGGTAGCTCATGCCTGTAATCCGAGCACTTCGGGAGGCCGAGGTCAAGAGTTTAAGACCAGCCTGGCCGACATGGTGAAACTCCATCTCTGCTAAAAATACAAAAATTAGCTGGGCATGGTGGTGGGCGCCTGTAATCCCATACTCCAGAGTCTGAGGCAGGAGAATGGCTGCAACCTGGAAGGCGGAGGTTGCAGTGAGCTGAGATTGTGCCACTGCACTGCAGCCTGGGTGACACAGTGAGATTCTGTCTCAAAAAAAAAAAAAAAAAAAGTCGACTGGGTGTAGTGGCTCATGCCTGTAATCCCAGTACTTTGGGAGGCCAAGGTGGGCGGGTCAGCTGATGTCGGGAGTTCAAGATCGGCCTGACCAACATGGAAAAACCCCGCTACACATACAAAAGCTTAGCTGGGCATGGGGGCGAATGCCTGTAATCTTAGCTACTTGCGAGGCTGAGGCAGGAGAATCCCTTGAACTTGGGAGGCAGAGGTTGCGGTGAGCCAAGATTGCACCACTGTACTCCAGCCTGGGCAACAAGAGCAAAACTCCCTCTCAAAAATAAAGAAAAAAAGTCTTTAGTTGCTTTTTTCCTTCTGCGCTCTCACTTGCACTTTTAGGGCTTGGTGATTTGCACCTGTGAGTTGTCGCTACTTTCTGTGAAAGGTCACGTGTTGTGCATGCATTCTGTGTGCTGGGACCTACCTGACCAGCAGCTGCTGCTGCTCTGTGGGAGCTTTCAGGAAACAGCACCTAGCAGATCAGAATCTCCATGCATGTTCGTCTCTGCCATCAGGCACTTATGCAGAAGGAAAGCGTGCCCTTGAGGATGAAGCCGGAAAACTCCAAGCCATTGCTGGAGACTTCGAGGATCAGGAAACACCAGCCCAGCTCTGACCTCCACTCCAGGTTGAAGTTGTCACTGGGATAAACCCTGAAGCTTTTGTCTGCAATTTGTGGTCCCTACACCAGAAGCGGCATTGCTAATTTGGGGCATCGTAGAAATGCAGACTTTTGGGGTACATTC